TCTGAGCGTATCATAAATAACAGTTGTACATACATCATGTCTTTCATGTGATGCATTTCATTCGTATTTCAGTAGTCTATGTATATATAACGTGAAATCATCTATAAAATCACATGTTGTTTGTGAATGTCTGGTGATATAATCATAAGTAATTGAATAATCAAGGTTTTTGGTTACAGGATTTCATTGGTTGAAGAGAGAACCATTGGAAAACTTGGGAGTACTGGACATATGTTTCGTCCTAGTTCGCCATTCTTCAGTACGCAGGACCTTTTGGTTACAGAAGATCCTGGTTTCGAACCCCGGCGGTGGGTGCGTACTGATGAAGAGTTCCAAACTAGGACGAAACAGCTATCCAGTACTCCCAGCTGGTTTTACAGTGGTTCTCTAACTGATGTCAGCTCATGATGAAATCCTGTAACCAATCAATCAAATTCCTACAAACCAGTACTTGAATCAAGTTATTTATCTAATTAATAACCACAAATCTTCAATATTTATAATTCAATTTTTTTCGTGTTGTATCGAGTAGTTGTCAATGAAGGTGTGTGTATACATCCAGTTGTTGTTGTTTTTCATCTTGACGATTACAAATAGTCACTGTATGCTGATAATAGATCAGCATTCCTGGGTTAAAACTTGGAAATTTATCACTTTCGATTGTTTATCGCATTAACTGACCATGATATTCATAGTAATGGAAAAATCACTGCTCAGCAGTTACAGTTGTTCTTTTTTCATTCATCGTATATTTCGTATTAGCTTGAAGCAGTGTTCTTCATCTCGTACTATTTAAAGAGGATGTTTATTAAAAGTCTGATCCATGAAAAAACTATGGCCAGGGGAAATGAGTGTGTAACGGAATCGAATGAGCAATTGTTCAGCCGGCGTATAATCACGATGTGTGACTGACTGGTTTCAGTGTGGGACTTTGCGTAGATGTACACCAGTTTGAGTGACCAAACTCCATGTAGCACACAAAGCCAGAGAAGAAAGTAAAAAGAAACGCAAAATAGAGACTGTAAACAGTGATATGAGACAAAGAGAATAGTAACGTCGAAGAACATTATAGTTTTATTGGGTATTATAAGTCACAAGGAGTGGATGCATCTCCGCCAGTCATTGAAAACGAGGATTTTGAGCCATATCATCAATTGTCTCCAGCAGTCATTGGTGTTTACCGTCTCGAGTACCCCAATCAGGAAGTTTACACCTTCTTACGTGGCTGGCTGACAGACTTAAACTAACTGTTGTGGATTTCATTCACTGATAAAGCCATGTTTTGGTTTGACTACCACTAGCTCTTTTCCAGTCTGACCCCCATGTCAGCTAACATTGTCCGTCGAGAAAGGCGATGGCTAGGCATATGCGTAAGACATATCCTAACTATTTCAATCGATGTAGCTTTACAGCCTTGTCGATTGATTTCTCCTCCTTACCTAGCACTAGACGCCTAATATCAGAATTGCGTACCCTAATATATCACTTCACACGTGAGACGGAACGCAGGCACTTATGATCAAAAACAGCGTACCTTTAAATGTCTTCCGCTATCAGTGGAAAAAACAGTATAGTTAGGTGGAGTGTGAGAGGCTAATCACTGAAGGTTTCTTTATGCATTCAACACTGGAGACGTGCAATCGGAATGACGCAACACCCCATACCAGAGATATTGAAAGTGGAAACAAACAACAAGAGGAAGATGGATAGAGAGAGAGAGAGAAAGAGAGAAAATCCAAATAAGACAAATTGTGAAACCGTGTTGTGACCAAAATTGACATGAGTAGCAATAATTTATGCTGGAAACCTTGTTATCCACCTATTAATACAGCATAAGTGTATATGATATTTAAAATAAACTTAGCTAATATGGCAAATATGTATTCCGCTTTGAGAAGTGTTCAGATTCACTTCTAGATAACTTCATTTTATACTGATATATAACTAAGCAACTATCGTCATACAGCCAGCCATACAAGTGATTAACCCTTAAGAAAAATTTAGAGACAAAGATAATGTAATAAATAGTCTAGCTCCCTTTTTTTTTATAAAAGTACAGATTTGGTAAGTCAAATAAATCGTTCACATCATAAAGTTTAAAAATAAACAAGTTAAGTATTTTTATTGATTTTTTTTAGTAAACTGTATCTAAAAGCATATGATATTTAGTGTATCACAAGCTAAAAAAAGCAGAGAATCTTTTGAAGAAGAAAAAAGGCACACTTTAGACAACACACTTTCCTCATGATGAGAAATCAGATTAAACGCTATCGAATAGAAGACATTGAAAGTGTATCGTAGTGTTAATTTTTAGTAATAGTTGTTTAAACCGTTTCACTCTAAGTTGGTGGTTATCAGTCAGAGACTGTGGTAATGCACAGTTTTAACTTAACTCTGCGCATATTCTGACTACCACTTGACTAAATCTTAAATTACTGATTTCTGATTTTTTTCAAGTAATTAGTTTGTTGAGAGATGTGCAACTTCATTTTCAGCGTAAAGTGTTTCTAAACAGTGCTGCACTTGTTTTTTTTATGTCCAGTGATCCGTTAAAGATGGCTATTTCTGTCGTTTCAATCGACTGATAGGAAAGTTATGAGCGGTTAGTGTTCACAGGGATCTGGGAGATTTGGACTTCGCCGATGATATACATATATCTGATTTCCCACAAAACTGGAAGATATGCAAGTGAAAAGCAACAGGTTGTCAGAAGAAGCATCCAGCGAAGATAGTGGTTCAGGTGAATATAGAAGTGATGAATATTCCTTGCCAACAGCAACAGGCAATAATCAGCATGAATGGGAGGAGTCTGAAAGAAGAATCCTTCTTCACCTACTAACTACTTGGGAAGCATCGTTTCAACCACAGGCGGACGCAACTGATGAGTATATCAAAGGGAGGATCGGGAAAGCAAGGCAAGCTTTCATTAGTCTCAAGTGTGTGTGGAGATCAACAGCACTACTCAGCATGAAAAATAAGACCCGGATTTTCAACTCCAATGTGCAGTCAGTGCTACTTAACGTTTGGATCAGAGAGTTGGCGTGTCATGAAGAACACCTTGAACAAACTACAGACCTTTATTAACAGCTGTCTTCGGTCAATACTCAAGATCAGATGGCCAGAAAAGACCAGCAACACGGATCTCTGGCAATGAGCGGACCAACCCAGTAGGAGCCAATTGTGCAACAAATACGCAGGAAGAAATAGAGGTGGATTGGCCATACTCTTAGGAAATCATCAAGTGATATCACAAAACAGGCTCTCAAGTGGAATCCGAACGGAAAGCAGCGAGTTGGTTGTCAGTGTGAGGTGAAAACGTTGGCAGAGAACCGGACACATTGGGGACGTTTGGCTGAAGCCCTACGTTCCTCTAGGAACTAAACGAAACAATAATGATATGATAGTATTCACAAGGCACTTTGAATCTAAGTTGCAGGCTTATTAGCACTTTCTAGCATGGCATGTTTTCATCTTTGTGGAAATTCATATTCAATTCGTGATTCAAACTTGCCTCTATCTTAACACTGAAGCTAATGACCTTTGCTGTTCAGCTAGCTTAGATCTCAACTGCCCAGTAAGACTGGATTATATATTCCCCATTGGTTACTGAATTAGTTTACATATTTAGCCAGATAGTGTTTCGTGTGTTTATCGATCAGGTGGTTACTAAGCTAAGTCTGAAAGAATATTGTTTTGCATTGTGGTGGAATGTAATCTAGCATCAAATAGAGAAAGTTCAACTTGCCTAGAGTATATATGAATTTCCACAACGTTTCAAATGTGCCATGTTAGAGACTAACAATAAGATGGAAAATCCCTCCTCCTCCTTAGTTCAGACAACTAAGTCGACTGAAAGTAAGTGGCATGTTGCTAATTTATTCAAAAGACAGAGGATTTAGATTACACTGTGGCGTGTGCTGCTGATAAGATTCATCAGTAGTGTATAAATAGATGTTCGTCGGCATAAAAACATCAAATAGCAGGGAAATATATTGGACGTCAGTGAAAGCAAATGATTCAGCGATGCGGAAATACATGAGAGACTTGAAAGAAACACAAAGAAACATAATATGAAGGTAGAGGCAGAAGTAGAACAACACAGAAGATCTGTGCAAATGGTGCGTTGAAGATAAGATGTACATAATTTCGCTATATAGTGATATCGAATTCCAAATAAATATTCCTTTACCAAGTCTCTCATCTTCTACCATTATAGAACTAGCATTTGAATACATTTATTCTAGGAAAATATCGTTTACCTTCAGTCAGCTACGTCACATGAAACCAGTGTTGTTGTTAAATTTAAATAAATCTATAGGTAAATAGATAAGTAACGCGTATATTTATCTTCATCCGTGTCGAAAATACGGTTAGTTAAATGTTTCTACTTATAAAACCAGACAGGTTGGGTGTGAAGACAAATAATTGCCGAAGATATTGGCTAAGGGTCGCGAATGTCGTGAATTGGCAGAAGTTAGAATTCATGGGCTGGTCATTGGATCGGGTCCCAGTGGCTTAGTTGTCTTCGAGCTCGCTAGCCTTGTAACCAGAAGGTCCTGGGTTTGAACCCTGGGGGTGGGTGCGTACTGATGAATTGTCCCAAACTAGCATGACGAAACAGCTGGCTGTCCAGTACTCCCAGGTTTTCCAATGGTTCTTTAACCAATGTCAGCTCATGATGAAATTCTGTAAAAAACCCTAAATATTTCAGAAATTTTAGTATAAATTTACATTATTACTTCATATAGCTTTTATGTGCTGTGAATTGAGTAAAAATTGCTTTTACTATTGCTGTGTTAATTTGAATAATTTTTAAATACTTCATAATATGTCATGTTAGGAATTCCAGTTATTGATCCAAGATCTCCTTACACAAATTCGATATGACATAGTTTTTGACTTTTATGCTATAAACTGTTTATTTACACAAGAGGTTTTCGAGAAATTACTTTAATACTCATTTTTTTCTTCTGTGACTTCGTTTTTACATTGAAAAATAGATGATCAGTCTAACAAAACTTTTGAAAATAATAATAATAATGAACATCTTGAAGTCGCTAATGATCTCCCCAATGAAGCTGACCAAAATTCAGAGTAAGTTTATATTTAACTGGACCTCTTTTTAATAATAATAATAATAGTAATAATAATAATAATAGAGCTTTATTTCAGACCTATGGAAGAGGTTACTTCATTCACTTATCTAGGAAGCATTGTCTCAACTACACGAGGAACAGACGAGGATGTCAAATCAGGAAAAGAATCGGGAAGGCGAGAAACACATTCACATCAACCTGAAACCAATCTGGAAATCTTCGTCACTTGGCCAGCATCAACAACAAAAATCAGTTGGATTTTCAATACAAACAAACGTCAAGTCGGTCAGTTCTTCTGTACGGATCAGAAACTTGGCGGGCGGGTCACAAAGAATATTTCCAACAGCCTGTTGCAGACCAGACCTTTATCAACAACTGTCTTCGCTTGATCTATACTGAAGATCAGATGGCCGGGCCGGGCCGGACCGGAAAGAATCACCAACAAGAAACTATTGGAAGAAGCGAGCAAAACAAGAACAAACCAATCGCCAACCAACAAATATACAGGAGAAAGTGGATGGAGATGAATTGGACACTTGGTGAGGAGGCTGATGGGTGACATGGGGCGCGCGTCAGGCCATTTCTCGAGTGGAACCCGACAGAATGGGAAGCGGCGGCGAGCGGGACGTCAGTGCAAGGGTGACATGGAGGAGATCGTGTGAAGAGGATGAGTTGAAACAGTATGGACTAACATGGATGGATGCAGGTGAAAAGTACAGCAGAAGGAAGACAGAAGCAAATGGAGACGTGTAGTTGAAGCCCCATGTTTCACTAGGAATCCAAGGGAACAATAGTAATATTTTATTTCAGACAATATGTGAACACATAGTAAAGGAATTTTCAGCGTATTTATTTTCAAAATACTTCCTCTTCATTGAGGATTCACATGTAAAGTAATAATCTGAAGTATATAGTTTGATGTGACGTAGTTAAGAGAGAACCAATTCCGTAAGCTTTATCTTCATCTCCTTCAAGAATTGCACAACGTCCACTTGGAAGCTAATTAAATGTACTTGCGAGTTCATGCAGTGATGATGGTAGTGTTGGTCAAGCCAAAACATGGCTTCATCAGTCAGTAAAATTCACAACAGTTAGTTTAAGCCAATTACGTAGGAAGGGCGTCGGTGGTACAGCGGTTAGGACGCTCGCCGACCATGCATATGGCCCGGGGTTCGATCCCCGGCCTCGCTAAACCAGAAATAATGCTGGTAAGGGGGAAAGGTTTGGCATGAGGCTACCAACCCCATCCTGTAAAATTAAAAACACTTCTACAGAAACTTCAAGCCACTAGCTTGAATCCCTATGTTCCACTGGGAACGTGAAGGAAAAAAAAGTCACGTAGGAAGATGTAGACTTCCTGGTTGGGGTCCTCGCACAGCGAAAACCAATGACGGCTGGAGACAGTTGATGATATGGCTCAAAATCCTTGTTCTCAATGACTGGCGCAGATGCATCCACTCCTTGTGACTTATAATACTCAATAAAACCATATTGTTCTTCAACATTACTATTCTTTTTGTCTCATATCTCCGTTTACTGTCTCTATTTTGCTTTTCTTTTTACTTTGTTCTTCTTCTCTGACTTTGTGTGCTGAGTGAAGTGTGGCGACTCGAACTTGTGTACATCTATGCAAAGTTCTATCTTGAAACCAGTCAGTCAGTTATGCGGTGATCATTTGATATAGTCGCGTGATTTAAACTATAAGAAATCCAAAAGAGTTTAAGCATTTTGATGGGGAGAAATTTTTGTAACCTCAGTGACTTAAGCAGGCCGCCAACACACTATCATTGATTTTACTAGTAACGTATGCAAACTCATTGTTGATACAGGGATCCTTTGAACAACTGTGTTATTTCATACGTTTCCGCAGCGATTTGGTTGTTTCTCCTGAGATGAATTTGCTCTTGTCTCATACCTGTCCTGTCTTAGGACGGGTCGGTAAACTAGACACGATTAATCAGAGAGTAGTGAACTTCTCTTTCGTCCTAGTTTGTGATTCTTCAGCAGTATACAGTAGGGTCTCGTCGGGGATCAAACCTGTGACCTTCAGGAGGGAAGATCTAGAAGTTGTTTGATGAAGTAGCCGCTAGAACATTTTATACACTAAGACATTCTAAATGAAGAGTCTTCTCCTACCGAGTAGTTCAGATGGTGATTTATTTTGAATTCCACCTTTCTTGTTCTTCATTTAAAATTATTAATTTTCAACACAACAATATAGTCACTTTTTGATAGCCACTCTCACTTTTTTGATAGGGATTATGGTCAACAAATGGTTGTTTTTTCCACTGAACAGTATATTTTCGGCATTTGTTTTCTTTTACCTTCTGGTTTTTTGTATGTGTGTAACCCTTAGAAGTGAAAACTTTCGTAGTTGAAATGATTGGCTATTTATTTCACATTCTTTTCCTTATTAGTTTAGGTACTTTCTACTCAACTGTATGATCATTGACGTACAGATTCATACATTAAATAATAACCCCAGGCATACTTGAAGGCTACTTGAACATCGATAGTTGTCATGAGATTGAAAACTTGACTTCCTTTACCGATGATTGTCAACTTCACACATACACACTCACATTTTTTAATACTTGTTGTTCTTCTAGTAGGTGTGCTGTATCATTATCGTAACACACGCAATTGGATTCGACTTAACAAACTCTGTCAGTGATATTTCCTAAACATTTGTTGTCTATTCATTTATTTGTACCTGTGGTTCAGTGGTAAAATCCTCTTCAACCACTCACCTGTTCCGAGCTCGATTCCTGGCTGACTCACTTTTAAGCCGGTAGTGAGGCTAACAACTCCACTATGTAAAAGAAACAACCTCACAGCTACGGAATGAACTTCTTACTGTCGATATGCCGATGACACATTTGTAATATGCAACAATGAAAGTCATGGTCCCCACTTACTCAGATTATTCACTGACGCACATACCTATATTGAATTCACTATGGAACATGAAAGTAATGGAAAGTTCCACTTCTTCGACATTACCATGCAACGCCTAGAAGTCAATTTACCGAGTCTTTATTTGCCCTGGTAACTGGATATTTCCACCTCTCTTATATATATATATATATATATATATATATATATATATATATATATATATGAGAAGCCAAACGAAATAAATGATAGTACCATTTTATTCTGTAAAAACTGTTGTTCTTGCTTTATTCAAATTCATTAAGGGGAATAAATGTATGAAACTTCAAAAGAGCTTGGAATCCTATATTCCAGTCAGAATGCAGAAAAAAAGAATCCAAGTATTCAGAAAATTCATTATTCTGTACTATATTTACTTACCTTTGATTTCTTCTTTCTTTTCATGAATCTCTAGTGAAGTCGTTGAAAATCCACTTGAAAACAATAACAACGCTATTCCAGATGTAATGCAGGTGTGTTCATGTGAAGTTTATTTGGTTTCTGTTCTTATTTCATTACTGTTTAGTTTATCTCTTTTGCTTATTTAGTTAGTTCATGCTTTTTTTGTATACATGTGTAAATGTAGTGCATTGTTATTGAAGTATCGGTTTTTAGGGATTTGGTTGATTGGTTACAGGATTTCGTCATGAGCTGACATCAGTTAGAGAACCATTGGAAAGCTACCTGGGAGTACTGGACAATCAGCTGTTTCGTCCTAGTTCTTTGAGATTCTTCAGCAGTACGCACTCACTGGGGTTCGATTCCAGAAGCTTCTTGTTACGAGGCGAGCTCGTAGACCATAAAGCCACTGGTACCCAATTCAGGGGTTCGAACCCCGGTGAGTGCATACCGATGAAGAGTCGCAAACTAGGACGAAACAGCTGATTGTCCAATACTCCCAGGTTTTCCAATGGTTTTCTAACCAATGTCAGTTCATGATGAAATCCTGTAGTACATTGTATTAAGCAACCTGAATTTCCATCATTTGTTCCTAGATTTGAATTCAACCTAGGTAATTAGAACAGTATCTTTAACCATCACACTTAAGTACAACTCATTATTATTATTGCTCCCTTGGGTTCCTAGTGGAACATAGGGCTTCAACTGCACGTCTCCATTTGCTTCTGTCTTCCTTCTGCTGTACTTTTCACCTGCATCCATCCATGTTAGTCCATACTGTTTCAACTTCTCCTCTTCACACGATCTCCTCCATGTCACCCTTGCACTGACGTCCCACTCGCCGCCGCTTCCCATTCTGTCGGGTTCCACTCGAAAAAATGGCCTGACGCGCGCCCCATGTCACCCATCAGCCTCCTCACCAAGTGTCCAATTCATCTCCATCCACTTTCTCCTGCATATTTGTTGGGCGATTGGTTCTTGCATTGTTTGTTCCCATAATTCCTTGTTGGGGATTCTTTCCGGCCCGGCCATCTGATCTTCAGTATAGAGCGAAGATAGTTGTTAAAAAAGGTCTGCAGCCTTTTGGAAATATTCTTTGTGACCCGCCCGCCAAGTTTCTAATCCGTGACTGACTTGACGTTTGTGATATATATATCCATATAATATGTGTGTTTGTTTGACAGTCTGATATATTTTGCTATGTATATATGGATCGATATTCCATTATAATTAGCCAATCATGTTAAGACTGTCTATTGATTTGTTCATTTTGAATATTCGCTCTCACACTTGTGTTCACACACTTGTTCGGACATTCATATATATTTTTGCTCTCACACTCTTGTGGGACATATTGATTGTCCTCGTGTGTTGGAAAATAGAAGTATCATCGCAAACCTAGTGGTCTTCTGATTTCCGTCTTTCTTGCGTCAGGACTATTAAATCCTCGACCAGTCCATAACAATAATTTGGCTACGAGTACATAATAGTTTGTATTGAAAATCCGAATTTTGTTGCTATGCTGAGTGACGAAGATTTCCAGATTGATTTCAAGTTGATGAATGTGTTTCTCGCCTTCGCGATTCTTTTCCTGATTTGACATTCTCGTTTGTTCCTCATGTAGTTGAGACAATGCTCCCTAGATAAGTGAATGAAGTAACCTCTTTCAAATCCCTCCCGTTGATGGTGATTAGCGCTGGATGTTTCTGCTACTGTTGTTGTTGTTGGCTGGTTATTTTCATAACCTCCGTCTTGTCTATGTTCACATGGAGTCCTGTCTTCGCCGGTTGCTTCTTCGACCAGTTTGTCGGTTTTCGCTTGTAAGTCTTCGATTTTGTGTGACATCAAACATAAATCATCCACGCGCGAAATCCAGGTCTTCTAGGTTCTTCACGTCGGTCCAGGATATCCTGTCTTCTCGTTTTCCACTCACTGTCTGACGCATAATCCAGTCAGTCCACCACAATTAGGAATATCATTGGTGATAATAAAGCACCCTTGTCTGACTCCTGTGTTTACTCCAAACGCCTCGCTGAGTTTTCCGTTGTGGATCACTTGACATGTGCCGTTGTCGTACAGCTGTTGAATAAGGTTGATGAATATTTGGGGTACGCCGTAGTACTCGAGTAATTTCCAAATTACTTCACGGTCAACGCTGTCGAAGGCCTTCTCAAAGTCTATAAAGTTGAGGTAGAGGTTTGATTGCCATTCCATGCTTTGTTCTGTGATGATGATGCGTAGAGTTGCAATTTGGTCAGTACATGATTTGCCTTTCCTGAATCCAGCTTGTTCTGGTCGGAGTTCTGTCTCCAGTGCGTCCTTTAATCTCTCCAGGATGATGCGACTCAGGATTTTACTTGGCGTCGATAGGAGCATGATTCCTCGCCAGTTCTTGCAGAGTCCTAAGTCGCCCTTCTTTGGTAGTTTCACGAGGTAACCTTTCCTCCAGTCAGTAGGCACCTTTCCCTCCTTCCAGACCTTTTGCAATAATGGAGTCAGCATGTCTGCTGTAGTCTCTGGGTCCGCTTTCAGTGCTTCAGGGGGTATTCCATCTGGTCCGGCTGCTTTTCCAGCTTTCAGAAGTTTGATTGCGTTCAAGACTTCAGCTCTCGTTGGAGGATTGGTGTCAACTTGCAGTTGTGTGCGCGCTGTTGTTGGTATTTCTGGACGGGTTGCAGGTGATGGTCGGTTCAAGAGTCCTTTGAAGTGATCCGCCCATTGTTTAATCTGTTTTTCTTCCTTGGTAATTGGGTTCCCTTGGCTGTCTTTTATAGGTTTCGCTTGTGTTGGTCTCTTCCCGGATAGAGATTTGGTTATCTGATATAGTGTCCTCAGGTCCCTTTTGCCTGCTGCCTTTTCAGCTTCAGTGGCCAGGTTGTCGTAGAATCGTCTTTTGTCCTTCCTAGCACTCTTCTTCACTTCTTTGTCCAGTGCTTTGTAAGTTGAGCTCAGCGTCTCCTTCTCCTGTCCGTCCTTGCATTGAATCATTTTCTCTTTCACCATTCTCCTCTCTTCTATTAATTTCCAAGTGTCCGTTGAGAGCCATTCCTTGTCTTGTCTCTTCTTTCTTCCTAGAACCGTTGAACACGTTTCGTTGAGAATCGCCTTCAGAGACTTCCAATGTTCTTCCACGCATGATTCTTCAGTGATGTCGCGTAGTGTTTCCTGCTTTGCTCTGACAGTTGCAGTGAAAGTGTCCTTTGTGGTTGTGTCCTTCAGTAATTGAGTGTTGAACTTGCATTGTGGCCTATCCCCAGCTATCCTCGAGGCTTTTAGTTTCACCTTGAAAGTCCCTTGTACTAGATAGTGGTCTGAACCCACATCTGCTCCTCTCCTTGACCTTGTGTCCAGTAGGCTCCGTCTCCACTTTCTTGAAATTGAGATGAAGTCTATTTGGTTCTTGGTGTTTCCATCTGGTGAAATCCATGTCGTCTTGTGTATATCCTTGTGTTTGAACACACTACCGCCAATCACCAAATCATTGAAGGCGCAGAAGTCTGAGAAGAGTTCACCATTGTCGTTCATTTCACCGAGGGCCTCACGACCCATGGTGAGTTCTCTTCCTGTGTTGTCTCCTCCCAGCTTCGCATTCATGTCGCCCATCAGGATTTTGATATCGCCATTTGGGACGTTGTCCATTATTGCTTGTAGTTGTCTGTAGAACGCCTCCTTCTTCTCTTGTTCTGAGACGTTTGTAGGCGCATAGCATTGAATGACTGTAACTTTCCTTCCTTTTGAGTTGAACCTGGCTGTCATTATCCTGGAGGAGATTGGTTCCCACTGCATGAGAGCTTTGGCTGCTGTTGGTGACATCATGATGGCCACTCCCTCGGTGTGCTCATGGTTGTCCTCTAGGTGGCCGGAATAGATTACTGTCTCTCCAGTAGGTAGTTGGCACCTTCCAGTTCCGTTCCATCTGCTCTCGCAGATTCCCAACACTTCTATTCTGTACCTTCTCATTTCAGCGGCTATCTGGGCAGCCTTTCCAGTTTCGTACATTGTACGAACATTCCAGGTACCCATCCTTACTTTTGCTTTCATCGAAAGAAGGCACATCGGCTGACTGGCTTCCCGAAGGCTGCTTTCACCAGCCTGCGTCATTTCACTTCCCCGATTCCAGCGAAAAGTAAGGCTATTGCTTATGTTTTTAGAATTTTTAATATATTTATTCGTTGAAGTTTCTGTAGCGATTTGGTTGTTTTACAGGGGTGGAGTTGCTAGCACCACGCCCCAACCCTCCCTCTTTACCCGGGCTTGGGACCGGCTAGAAAACTAGTAAGCTAGTAGCCTAGCAAGCTAGTATCTGGCGAGGTTAAGTAAAACTCATAGCGTATCAGAAATCTGTTCTAGATGAATAATTAAACTCCTTAAAAAAATATTTGCACATGTTTCGAATCCGGAACCTTCTGGTTACAAGGCAGGCAAGCTGGGACCCGACTCATTAGTCCATGAATTCTAACTTCTACCAACTCGTGATTTTATCGTGTCATCAGGGTGGGCATTTGTCCTCACTCACAAAGGGATGGACCCTGCTACTCACAACTTCTCACTAGAACTACTGGAAACTCCGTTGTGTAACCAGTCACCAGCGAAAATTAGATTAATTTTCAAGAGTTGGTTTGTAGAGGCATTTGATTTGTTTTTCAAGTTTGCCCATGGATTGATATCGGTTAAGGAGCCATTAAAAAAACTAGGAAGTACTGGATAGCTGTTTCATCCTAGTTTGAGACTCATTGGCAGTACGCACTCACCAGAAGAAACAGCTGTCCAGTACTCCCAGCTGGTTTGCAATTGTTCTCTAACTGATATCAATCTGTGGGCAAACTTGAAAAACAAATCAAATCCTCCTATAAACCAACTCTTGAATATTTGTACATGTTGCTTATTTATCAGAATATTTTGGTTTCTTTTAAAAACTTTTGTTTTTATTTGAAAAATAATGGAGGGAAAAGAGTGTTCGACATATTTTGGAGAATCAACTAATAAAGCATTGATGATAATTATCATTACAATACGCATTTTTGTTAGTTTTAACGCGAAGTTGAATTGATGATATTGGATATTTGGAGGCAAT